GATTTGGTTTGTATTGGATTTTGACTGGATTGGGTTCAGTCCATTTATAAGTGGACTCACATTGGACTGGATCGGATTGGACCAAATCCATCCAATTGACACCTCTAGCTTGGAAGTATGCAATATTAGGGTCCGATTGGTTCACAGTTGGAATCAGAATCAGGATGGTTTAGTCCCTAGTTCACATATGGTTTAGTCTGTATTTTTCTCTATTTATTTGCAATTTTTTGTTTTTTTCTGTATTTTTTGAATTTTTTGTGTTTTTTCTGTATTTTATTTTGTATTATTCTTATATTTAGATAGTTTTATTTTCTGTATTTTATTTAATTTATGCTATTTTTTATTATTTATAAATATATCATTTATTTTTAATTTATTTATGACATTACTGATCGAACCATTCAACTTGAACGGTTGAACCGCTTAACCAGAAACCAGTCCCCTGACCGATTCTGTTTCTAGTTCGTTTTTAAAAACCTTGCTTTTTTCCTTGTGAATGTAACGATCTACACAATACACATTACAGGGGAATCAGGGGAAGGGTAGAACAGGGTGCCCTATGTTTTACATTTGATTTTGTTGGTTATTTGGTAAATAACTTGGACGGTTGAAATTAGTTTAAAGATGTTAAGAATTTACTTTCGTGGCATAAATCTTTTCATTGATTTGGTATTATCTATCTGATTGGGCTGGATTTATTGAAGCCTTTGTTACATCATATGATGGAAGAGATTAATTGCCTAAGCTTGGGACAGTTTAATAGTTTATGTCAAGTTTATTTGGTTCATCGCGTGGCTTAGATATTTTTAAGAAATTTTATTGCATTACTTGATTGGTCAAGCTTAACTAAAATTTATGTAAGTTAGGGTCCGTTTGGTTTACAATCAGAATTAGAGCTAAAATTAAAATCAAAATCCTCACATATTGGAATCGGAATAATCTATTCTCATAGTCTGTTTGATTCAGACAAGAATTAGAATGAGAATTGGAACAAGTTGGAATGAGATTTCATTCCCAAGAGAGAGGGAGGGAATGACCATTCCACTAGGAATGGGAATGGAATTCTGGTTCCATCTAACCAAATATTTGAAATTCTGCAAATCAAATGACCCTTAGATGGTGAAATTTGACTTGACCAAAGGATGCCACTTTAATTTATTGCCTATGCTTTTGCATAGATTTGGTATATCATTCAGGCCTAAATATCAAACCTCCAAAGTGCAAGGGAAATCTTGTATATGTTTGGCATGGATGCTGCACTGTATATGTGTGGATTGGAAGCACCGTTTTATGAGAAATTGGTGTTTTTTTTTTTTTGGAAACGTTGCTACTAGGTAAAATGTTTTCTGAGGCAACAACAATACATTTTGTTTGATACCAGTGCTCCATATTTGTTTTCAACATTGGTACCTGATGAGGGCGGATTTGGCCCTCCAGTCACGTCATGACGCATGGCATCTCAGAATGACTAGATGACACCTAGACACCACCTAAGTGATGATTTGGAGTTCCAGATCGAAGCTCGTCTTTACCCCGACCTGACGACCTCCCTTTACCACCGACCTAGTGACTTTGACCGCAACTTAGGTCGGCTTGCAACACCTCGTCCAGGGTCAACCTGTAGCACCTTGTCACCGGCCAAAGTGACCTCGACGCGAGGAGCGACCTTCCTCGAGGGCTTGCCGACCTGACTAGGGACCAGGCGGTGACCTGCGAGATGTGCTCACTGACAAATTCGACATGCATATCCCAATGCTCCCAGGTTTCTCGGAAGTTATCCCACGTACCGAATGTTCCGGAGGATGGTAAACATGCATAGCAGTTACCTTCGAGGATCTCGGACTGGTTAGGCACGACCTCCCAGAAATCCCGAGTGCAGAGCATGAGACCCGCACCAAACAATGCCTATATAAAGGCCTTACCTCCAACCCCAGGGGGGAGAGGCGCAATTTAGTTCTCGCAGCTCTCCACCTCTCTCACATTTAGCTATCTTAAAATCTCTGATTCGCTAACTTAAGCATCGGAGTGCCCACCCCGGGTAAAGAAACCCAGGCACTCTGACACTGTGTCCTTGCAGGTCGCATCAGAGCCACCTCTCCAGTTCGTCACCACTCAGCTAGACATCAAAGCCACCTTTCCAACTCGTCACCATTCAGCTAGGCGTCTAAGCCACCTTCCAAGTAGGAACCATTCAGCCAGGCATCCAAGCCACATTCCAGGTAGGGATTATTCAGCCAGGCATCCGAGTCACCTGCCAGCCGGGAGCTGCCGAAATGCGCTTCATCAATTAGCGCCGTTTGTGGGAAACGCTACAAGAAGCCAAGTTCTCACTTTCTAAAAGGCTAAGTCCTCTTCTTCCAGAAAGCTAAGATCTCACCTTTTAGAAACTAAAGTTCTCACTTTCTAATTTCCATTTTTTATGAACTCAAAGGCACTTTTGAGCAGTATCAACACATAAAATGAATATCGATTACTGGGGGGCAAAAACATCTATGAGGAACCTAGAGAACTCCCCTTTGGCAAGCAGACAAGTTCAGGCCAAACTCAGCATCCCCAGTGCCCTAGATAAATATACCACTACTCTATGTGAATGCCCCTCTCCCCGCGGTAGAGCCATCAGTAGTTCCCGCCGGGATTGAAGCGTAGCAGTTCTATGAGGTGAAGCATGAATTTCCAGATCTGAGCATGGAAGAAGCCTGATGTAGACAACAACAGAACATCCTCAACTCATCCTCAACAGCAGTCAGCCAGGACGAGGCCTCATCAACCTTGTTTCGCGAGGTCGCCTCTAGAAGATGAGTTCTTCGGAGCTTCCGCGTGAACTGGCAGCCAACGGACTGCATGGAAGCCCTTGTAGGTTGAGCCTTCCAAGGCTCCCGTGTGAGTTGGTGACCTAGAGTCAGTAGTGATGCCCCCGTAGGTCGAACCCCCAGTGGCTTCTTGTAGGAGTGGATGACTGGCGTCACTAACGAGGCTGATGCAGTGCAGCCGTAGCCCTGAACTGCCGACTCACACCAACAACAACATTATGCCCTCACAAGGGGGGCAGAACATGTACGTTGTGGTCTCGCAAGCACTCACCCAAGAAGATAATCCCACGGGATGACATAGAAGCAGCCTATGAGAAGTTACTACAAAATGACCACCCACTTAGGCGAAAAGGTCAGGTCACACGTCGGCTAAATAAGGATAAGGAGAGTGGACTGCGAGTCACTCCCAGAGCCCAAGGGCTAAGGTGCCAAGCTGATGAAAGACCTCGGCACCACATGAGACCCAATCTCCTCTTCAGCATGGGTAAGATCAAGGATAAGGAGAGTGGACTGCGAGTCACTCTCAGAGCCTAAGGGCTAAGGTGTCGAGGTGATAAAAGACATCGGCACCACATAAGACCCAGTCGCCTCTTTTGCACGGGTGAAACAAAAAGCAGTTCGCATTCAACACGAGAAAGAGAACAAAGGAAAGATTAGTTCGCTCTCAGCACCATGACGGATGCAAACTTGGACTATCTCTTCACTTCGGTTTTAGGCTCTGTGTCGAACTCATTGGCTACTCTTTTGAGAACCAGTTCGAGTGACATTGCGTCGAAGTCTACTTAGGCGGAGTGACCTAATAAAGAAGTCATGTGGTTAGAACCTCTTATTGAGGACGGCATGAGGAGCTCCGCTCTTGAGGTAATAGGTCGGATTGCAGAACCCCTTGATGGTTGCATCCCTAATAAGGTAGATGTCCTCGGGATACCTGCTTCACCTCTCCTCAAGCAGATGAGTCCGCCTTCATGCCTCGAAAATCAAGACAAGGTCCTGCATGAGGATGCAAACACTTGAACTCTTCCAACCTGAGAAGCAAATTGGACCAACGCATACGACTACGAGCTCATCAAACGGTCATTCCGAGCCAAAAGGAATGATCTACTCCCTTCGCCGAGCTGCCCTCAGCTTGAGAGTAGGGGGCAATTGATGAGGGCAGATTTGGCCCTCCAGTCACGTTGTGACGCATGGCATCTCAGAATAACTAGATGACACCTAGACACCACCTAAGTGATGATTTAGAGTTCCAGATCGCAGCTCGTCTTTACCCTGACATGGCAACTTCCCTTTACCACCGATCTTGCGACTTCGACCACAACTTAGGTCGGCTTGTAGCACCTCGTCCAGGGTCAGCCTGTAGCACCTCGTCACCGGCCAAAGTGACCTCGACACGAGGAGTGACTTCCCTCGAGGGCTTGCCGACCTGACTGGGGACCAGGCGGTGACTTGCAAAATGTGTTCGCCGACAAATTCGGCATGCATATCTCGATGCTCCCAGGTTTCTCGGAAGTTGGCCCACGTACCGAATGTTCCGGAGGATGGTCAACATGCATGGCAGTTACCTCCGAGGATCTCGGACTGGTTAGGCACGACCTCTTAGAAATCCTGGGTGCGGTGCGTGAGGCCCACACCAAACAATGCCTATATAAAGGCACCAACCCGAATGGCACAGGAGAAGCGAGTAAACACATTTTAGTTTTCATACCTTGTGATTTTTTAGCTCGTGATCTACTACGAGAGTACTAACTTAATCATCGGAGCGACCTCGCCGGTTTCTCTGAAGAGCTACCTAGCTCAGCAATCAAGCCAGCTCGGCACCCAATCTACTCCTAGCTCGGCTTAGTCAGCTTGGCATCCAAGTCCTCATCCAGCAAAAATCCTCCACTTCAGCCTTTGAATCGTCGGCCACCTAGAAGTAGTCCGAATGATAGGGTGCTGCTAAAAAACCCTTCATCAATACTCATTATAGGAAGTCCACGTCACTACCACATCATGTCCTCGTTTGTAGCAACGAGCTTCAAATTGAGAAAACGTCAAATTCAACGTTTCCCCCTACCACGCCTTCTTGATTTTCAAGAAGTGATTTGGGGCACCATTTTTTATGAAAAATCGATTTCAAACATGTTATAATTTTCTGAAGCACCGATGGCATTGACGTGTTACCATTTTCTAAAACAACAGCAAACACCGACCTTATTAATTACTAGTGGTATTATTAGTTTGTCTACGTAAGCAGCTGTCAGGATTTCTTTTTCCAAATATATATTTATATATACAATAAATGTTCATGGGCTGTTAGAGAACATGAAGCGTCTAAAATCTAGATGCAATCGGCGGAAGAAGCAGCTTTGAGCAACAAATTGAATAGCATAAAGGGAGCGGAGAAGAAGGGGCTGTGGTCGCTTTCCAGAACGAAGACATTAGACGGCGGCCACCTTTGTATCATAACTTCTTGCTGCTCGGGCTTCAAGATTCGATCGTGCATCGTCTTTATGTAAACACGCCTGACCTGATCTACGCCTTGTCCTCCTCCCTCACCAAATTTTGCTCCTCGTAACGCCTGAAGTGGCCCTGGCTTCACAAGCATCGAAGCCAAGGTGGAGTCCTGATTACCTCCAAAAAAATTATCCAACCAAGCAAACATACTAATTAACTAAGATTTGGTCCAAAAATAAAATGTTTGTCATCAGATTTCTGATTAAATCCTTTACTTGATACCTATTCTAACAGTTTTATATTCTGAGTTTTTTTTTTTCAAAATTATGAATTATTAAAATCCTCTTCATAGGATTGTGTGGGATATGATCTGCTCTTTACGGAGCGTCCCAGCTGCACATTGGAATTTGGAAACATCTCCCATCCTTATATGTTTTTATTGATGTAAAGATGCTTCCAATACATAGTGAGATATTCTGTGAGTAGTAAATCCCATCATGATTTTTAAAATCGGATCAGATCAGATGGTTGGACTGGAAAAATCGGGAATTTGTAAGATGATTGGTTCTATTTTATCTCAGAATCATTATTTTGCTAAAAATCATTGATTTGGTCAACAAACCGTTGATCTGGGTGTTCGAACTGTTCAAACCGTCCAATGGTTTTGGCCCTTTTTTTATTTTTTTAATTTTTTATTGTTTTGTCAAAATGGACCGTCCTTTCGACCTGGGAACTGGACCCCTGGCCGGTTCATTGTCTGGTTCGATTTTAAAAACCTTGAATCCCATGCCATATTTGGCACTCTAAAACCAGTCAATCCACCTGAGTTACAAGCAGTTTCTGCTGTTTAACGTTTTCATAAACTATCCAAAGCAATGTTTTCAAAACCGGACCAGACTAGACAGCCAGACCAAAAAAACCGGTCACTAGCCACCTGATTGGTTCCATTTCACCCCAAAACTGGCATTGATTTGGTTAGCAAACTGTTGAACCACCAATTTGGACAATGATTTTTGGCCATTTTTTGTTTTTTTGTTTTTTGTTTTTAATTTTTTGTTAGAATGGACTGTCTATTTAGACTAGATGGTCAAACCATTCGACCCGGGAACCATCCTCAGAACAATTTCCTATCCGATCCGGTTTTAAAAACCTTCATCCAATTCCAAAGAAATGGAGCAGTGACCTTCAAAAGAAGGCGTTTATCTGAAACACTTTGATGGTTGGTTTTGAAGACTCTTGCTCAAGGTAGATTAGGGGCTTTACCTCTTGAGGACTCATATGGTAGGCCATCCTGTGCTGAAATTCTTTCTTTATAACGATGCTGGTGGGAGGCTGGTCTGGTCCTAAACCATATCTCAATTCACACATGTCCCCCGTTTTGAACAGCTCCGGAACACCCTGTTTGGTGGCATCCAGAAGAAAAAGATGATGATTGATAAAAATGAGAAAATAACATGAATAAGTTGGGTAAACAATATGTCAAATTGTCAATCGGGCTGTGTGCAGTTACACGTTAAATGGTACTAATTTGATATGTGGATGAGAGCAAAACCTGCTGCAACTACGGTCATACAGTTCTCTTCCAATCCCCCCAATGACAGCAATTTGGATTGTCTGAATCCGATGGCCGTTTAACAGGTTGAGGAATCAATGGTAAATTGGTAATGGTCCATGCTAATAATAAATTCATGAGCTCTGTTGTGAAAAATGTGGGTCCCATCTATTCTATTACTGACCCGCTATACAGTCATTGTCATCAGCCAATCCTTGTTCCAATGACATCAGCCATGCAAAAGGGAAAAAAAGGGAAAAGTAGTACACTTCATTTTCATTTAAATGTAGAATTCTGAAATTAGAGTACCCCATAGTCTACTAGCCCCCTTATAAACCGCAGCTTGCCCGTGGATTTGGCATCAATCCAGGGTCAGGTTTCATTCCCTTTACGGTGAGACTAAGAATTCTGAACTGGGCTGATTAATCATTCTCCAAAAAAAATCACTTCTTATGATGTAATAGCAGAAAAAGTTAGACTTCACTTGAAATGAATGCAAATATAAATATGCTTAATATAATAACAAACATGCAAGGTTCATGAATGAAAGTATTTATATTTGCATTTACATTCTTCCCAAATTGAACCTTATGCATCTAATATCTACCTTGATCTCATGAGGGAGGGAGTAGAAATCTATACCTAGTCTGGGCACTTGTTTGGAATAAACAATTAATAAATTTATTTACAATATAGATTTAATACTTGGAAAGATTTTCCTACTCTCTACAGCAACCAGCAAGTGACCTATTCAATTGAGATTATTGTGAATGGGTTCGTCAATCATTAGATTGGGGAAGTGGAGCAAGAAGAATTTGAAATGATCCATCTTCTGGGAGTGTCACCAATGAGACAAGGTCCTAACAATTGGTTCCAATAGCCATTGCAGCTTTACATGGGGAACACCTCCATGAACAGCTGCATGGGACAAGGGAGTTTTTCCCACTGTTTTCAAAACCGGACCAGACTGGACGGTCGGACCGGAAAAATTGGGACCCAGTCATCTGACTGGTTTCATTTTCCTCCAAAACCATTGATTTTGGTCAGTAAACCGCTGAACCTGTCAGTTAATCGTTTGAACCATTCGAACAGTTTTGATCATTTTTCAAAATTTTAATTTTTTTTTGTCAGAATGGACTGGCTATTCAGGTCAACAATCGGACCATTCGAACTAGTAACCGGACCCCTGACTAGTTCGTTTTTAAAAACTATGGTTTTTCCCAAGTCCCAACCTGCTCATAACAAAAAGCTGTTCCAACACACTCTAACACGATCTGTCTACACCTCACAACCATGGTGGGTCCTAATGCCAGGATGAGATGTGCAGACATATATCATGTTGGAAACATGTTGGGATAGTCATTGTTGTGAGTAGATCCCATCCCAATGTTCCCAATGCATGGCTGTTTGGACCAATTGTTTGGGACCCTATGTTAAGGTTAAATCTGAACTCGTGAGCAAATATGTTTGTATGTATGTATGAATATATTAATAGCAACATTATTAAGTACAAGTGATATAGATTAATAACAATTCTTAGTAATTAAGGTATTTTAATGGGAGAGATGTTCTCAATACGAGATCAGATTTGATCCTCACAAGATTGTTCGTATATCATCTTCACAATCTTTTATATCTATGCATTGGGAATATCTCTTTGTATTTGTATATATATTTTTTATGGAGAGATATTCTCAACGTTCAAATGCAATGGACTATGAGAATGGTAAGAGGATGATACTATAAGGACCAAATCCGTTGTCTCCCAATTAGACCTGGCAATTTGGGTTGGCTGGGTCGGGTTCAGGCTGGGTCAAGATACTTCAGGTTGATTATGGGTTGGGTTGTCAAATGCTAGACCCTAATCCTAAATGTTTGGGTTAGGGTTGACCCATGGGTCAATTCGGGTCATCTCAAAAACTAAAGAAAAACTACATGAAAATGCCAAAATTTAAAGAATTAACCTTAAAATTCTAAATATAAAATAAAAAAAAAATTGAACATTTAACGATTTAAAGAGTAAAAACTAAATAGAAAAAAACTAAAGAGTGGAAACTTTTAACAATGCATAAATAGTCTCAATTAGACTTGACAATCAGGTCAGCGGATTGACCCATAACCCAACCCAACCCAATTTTTTTCCAGGTCAGGCCGGGTCATTCTCATATTTAGATAGCTTAATTTGAAACCCTAACACTGTTTTTTCAGGTTGGGTTCATGAATTGGATCAATTTTTTTCCAGGTCTACTCCCAATACACGAGTGGGAGGTGCTGTGGGGAGCCAATCTGATCTCTTTGATGAACACCCTAGGTTTTACAGCTTATCCGATCTGAAATCCGTAAACCCGTGGTTTCATTCTCGAAGTAGGCAACCGACCGGTCATAAATCATAATGCACTTTGTGCATCAACTCCGTCAACATGGATCTCACATGCATACGAAGCATATGGTGTTGGACCCCTAGAGGATGAAAGTCGGTGGGTGTTCATTACTAGATAATCTATAAACATTTGGATAGATGGCTATACGACCCAAAGGCCAAGCCAAACAAGTAATTACAAGTTTAGATGAAGACAAAAGAGGTTGAGAGTGCAGAGTCTGTAGACGATATCCGTGAAAATTGAAAAGGAAGGGAGAGGGTCATAGGCTGGTCCACGTAGAGAGCGTAACAGTCCAGCACCCAGCGTGGCTGTATTATGTGACGTGGAACCCCAACCGATTTTCCTGCGAAAACATTTATCCCAACTGATCCCCCATTCCCCACTCCCTGACAATTTACGACTCCGCTGGTTTTTTGCTGTTTTATTTCTTTTATATATATATATATATATATATACCACTCAATCAATATATATATATATATATATATAGATATAATTTGGATATATTATACATAGATGGATAAAATATATGTGAGTAAATGATGTAAGTGGGCAACTCAACAGGACTCAGAGTGCGCAACAACTATTTGCTCCACTGTTTTTTCACGTACGGGTGGCCCACATCCATTTCAGACCGTCCAATCCTCCCACCCTAGTCCCTCCCTCTGCATACAAGTCCTAAGGGATAGGACAACAACAATTGGCCTAAAAAACTGCTACGAATAAGACGTCTACAACGGGCTAAAGAATCCAATCAAGTATAAACACGTCAGTTGATGATAATCTGAAAGAATACGGATCGATGACGTGTCTTCTCTTGATTGGGTACGCAACCCGTTGTCCATGTCTTAGAAGCCGCGGAGCTGGATTGTGTTACTTATGTAAGGACTAAGGACTAAGAACTGAGAAAGGATGGTCAAGCTCTTTAGCTTCTCAGTTCTCCCTGCTGCTTTTACAGATGAGTAAGCAATAAGCAGGTGTAGATGTAGTGTAAAGTAGCATATATGCTTGAGCGACTGATTATATATTAGCAGTGAAGGAAATTACATCTTTGACGTCTTGGTCCGTCCGAAACCCCGAACGAAGCATCGTCGCTCCTACGTAGATGGCCACCGCGATTTTCTTTGCAAACCTATGGATAGCATCGGTGACGCTCATTCCTCCGGCGCTGTGTCCCACCAATATTACCTGATAAACACCAAGCACAAACAGCACAGTATTGCTTTATATTACGGGGCTAGAGTTTGAGAAGAATAGTACGTACAGTCGAAACGAAGAATGGAAGAAGAATATATCTATAGAGAGAGAGAGAGAGAATTAGTTGAATACTTTCTGGTCCTGCGGCAAGTCGGACAAGAAGTCGATGAGTGGTTTGTTGTATTCTTCGAAAGAGAGAATGGAATCGGGGTTGGATTGATCGATTCCAGCGCTCTTGAGGTCGAGACACGTTACCTTGTAACCGGAACTCTCCAAGAGACACCGGACTTTGTACCAACACCAGGCCCCCCCTCCTATACCATGCACCAGCACGAAGTGGGCTGGGGAGGAGGAGATGAATACAGAGGATGTTACCTTTATCACGTTCTTCTCTCCCATAGCATCCTCAGATCTTATCAACATCTCCTCCTCCTCTTCTTCTTCCTCTTCCACTTTGGTTTTATTTTTTAATGAGCTCAGACTGATCAAAGTGCACAAGATAATTCATCTACATACACTTCAGTACTTGTTATATAGTGCACATGCATGTGACAGAGCTTATGTGAGGTCGATCGAACTGTGGTAGAGATATATCTGATCAGTCCTATATAATTAATAATTAATTAATAAGCATACCCCGTCTAATTATATATAACAATAAATGAAGAATTTAACTCTGACAAAAAATGATGGATCTTGTCTTGTTCTTAACATTTTTTTTTTCCTGAGTGAACTCCTGTATATTTATGTACCTATTAACCCGGTAATTTTATTTTTCTTGTAGGCCAGGTTACATTTTATTTAAACTTTTGGAGGGGGTACCCATCTTAAAATTTTATTAACCATTTGATAATGGAAATGCAATGAAAATGATATATAGGGGATATAGCCTGCTTTGTTCACAAACTCAACCCCAATCCAAGAAAGATTACTAGAAAATCTTATAACCAATCAAATACCATCATATAAATGGTAATCCATCAGTTGGTTTTTCATCAAAATTTGTGGGGGTTTTAAATAATAAAAAGCATCATAAGAATGAAATTTACCTTCTTCAATGTCCAAGTTTACAAGGGTGTCACCTAGTTTATTGGCTTCTCTAAAAGTTATGGATGAATGTGAACAGCCATTCGATATCTGCTACCCACAAGTTGTTCTCACATACCTATGCACGGAACGCTACCACTGTGTATTGGAAACATCTCCCCATGAATGACAAGGCCGTAATGTCTCATGAATTGAGATGTAAGAACAACTTGTGGGTAACAAGCAGATCTGAATCCAATGAGCAGTCCAAGGGAGTTCACATCAGCGTCCAAAATAACTCACAACACATTTCAACCATGTATTGAGAACATCTCCTGATGAAAAGTACAGAATATGATGAGACATCATCGAAAAATGTTTCCAATACATGGTTGGAATGTGCCGTGGGGCGCTAATGTGAACTCAGTCCAAAGTCGAGTAGTTCTTAGTTCTTACGCATTAGCACCTGAATGAGAATTTTATTGTCACTCTCCATAATGATATGAAGAGGGTGGAGATGAGTGCAAAGCTGAAAAGGTTAGCCACATAACAATTTTGTCTTAGGGGTGTTCTTTTTTTGGATTTTGAGAGGGGGAAATTTGGTCAATGGGATTTTGGTTTCCATTGACTAAGAATCCCATGTTTATTTTTCAGATTTTTGTAGGGACCGTGGAAAGTAATTTTCCTAGGTAAGTGATACCCATCTCCCAAGTGGGTAAATAATTTTCCCACATAGGGGGAAAGTTGCTAACACTTGAATGGGACAAAAATGACCCTTTTCATAATGAATTTTTATATAAAATGAGCATTACCTTATTTACCTAGAAAATAAAAAAAACATGGATAAATGCACTTACCCGGATACCAAATAATTGCATTCATTTACCCGGATAAAAAGTGAACGAGGCCTTAAAATGGGTTTTGTTCATGTCCAATTTCACCATGTTACAATTTACATGTATATCAACTGTGAATGGTGTAAGTAATCCACCCTGTAGGGATTGTAGCTGTAAAAAGGTTTCAGCCAAAAAAGGGTTTTGTCTTTTTTTTAAAGGCTATGGCAGTGAAGTGGGCTTGGCCCACAAAAAGGTCGGTTGGTGACATACAGATTACGGAACCTATCAAATGCCTCCCGGATCTTTTTTCCTCTCCCCTTCCAAAAGTTCGTATTTTGAGTTTGGGTTGGGATACCTTTTTGCTGTGGGAAAAATGTAAGTGCCATGCATTGGTACTGTCTTATATATTCTTTTAACATGTGAGCGCCCAGACCTAGCGACTCTCTGAGTTCATTTGGAGGGATGAGAGAGAGGAGGGTCACTTCACTTGGTGGTTGGTACATCCCCTTTAAATTGGAAGTGATGGGATATCAGAAACATGTGGAACTGTAGGCTTTCTGTGGTATGTGATAATCAAATTTAAAGGATATAAAGAAAGAAAGAAGGGATATGAAAAATGTCAAGATAAGTTGTTTTTATTATAAATACAAATCGATACAAAAAAGTATAAAAACCTTGTATTTTGTATGTATTTACACTGTACATATTTATATTTGTATTCCTTCCAAACTGAGTCTTAGGAACAAAAATTTGATAAGAGTAAAGAATAAATTAGGTTTGTAATTAAGTTACATTTTTATTAACTATTATCATAAAGAATAAAAATCAGAACAGGGGAGGGGAGGGGAGGGGAAGACGTAGCCCACCTTGCCCCAAACCCAACAACAAAGCTTTCCCTTTCACATTCAAACCCTAAAACACCCAACAAGCCAACAAAAAAAGGTTTGTAAATTTCATTAACATTATGTTTGGTTTGAAGGAATAAGTAGGAAAAGATAGAAAAACTAATTTAAGGTTTGTAAAGGTTTTTCAATCTTTTCTTTCCTTTCCCTACTTTTTTCCTTCAAATCAAACACAGTTTTAGAACATCTCCCCATAAATGAGACCTAAATTTAACTCCCATATTGTTAGTGACAAGGTATAATAAGACCCACTGACATTATATAGAAAGCCTGCCTTTTAGCTGTTTGAACTTGGGCCTTGTCAACAAGAGCCCACAGATATAAACTGGTCATCATCGATACTTAATCAATCACGACCATTAATGAAAATACCTGTATTTTGTACTCACAAGTGTAAGACTCTTGTAAACAGAACACTGCCGTCGTATTCACTGGTAATTAGTTAACAGGTTACACGTAACCTAGGGAACAGCAGATCCAGAATGTCTCAACTCTCAATTAGTATCGTTTAAGACATTTTGTGACTGTGTGATGCAAAAGGCCAATTGCTAACAACTTGAGGCCTACCAAAGGCTATCTGCCAAACAATATCCTATCAAATATGGTGTGGCGCTAGCTAAGTTATATGCCATAGACTCGGTTCACCTATCGACTACCAAGTAATCTATGTAGGGGAGATATTTTCAATTCATAGGAGGTAGTGTATTGTAGATAGACATAGACAGAATTCTTGCAGACAGGAGTTCTGGAGTCACTCAATACTCAAATAATTGAATCGAATATCGACAGACTTTTGATGAATTCAAGACTCAAGATGGAAACCGAAATATGAGGATAAAACTTAAAAAAAGTCACTGAATCTGGGGCGCACCCGCACAGGAGACTGAATGGTGTCGTGTTCTTAGGATATGCGTATGCTACCTTGTTATTTCTTTTTGAAGACAGTACATGTCATAACAAATTGTTTGTGGCCAATAAAAGTGGTCATGCTATCCACCGGTGCGTGGGTGGATTCCAGATCTGCTGATCATAATACATTGATGGTCACATTCACCCAGATATGGAACATCGGTTGTGTTGTAGTCACTTATATTTTTAACATGTATCTGGATGAGCATGGCCAGTAGATCCAAATTCGTGTGGGTGAACGTGACCCTACTTTTTTTTTTTTATCTTTCTTCACATTACACTGATGAATCGAGATATGCTTTGATCGCATATTTAAAGCATTTCTTGTATTTGTATCATCTTGTAAGCATCGATTCAATTCCTTAAGCTCTGGTAGCGATTCGTAGTTCACTCTCCTTATCCTTGATTTTTTCCATGCCGAAGAGGCGACTGGATCTTATGTGGTGCCGAAGTCTTTGTCAGTTCAGCACTTTAGCCCTTAGGCTCTGGGAGCGATTCATAGTCCACTCTCCTTGATCTTTGATTTTGCCCAAGCCGAAGAGGTGACTAGGTCTTATGTGGTGTCGAGGTCTTTTATCAGCTCGACACCTTAGAGCTATGGCTGCACTGCATTAGTCTCATTAGTGACGTTGGTTACCCACTCCTACAAGAAGCTACTAGGAGCTCAACCTACGAGGGCAGCACTACTGACTTTACGTCACCAGCTCGCACGGGAGCCTTAGAAAGCTCAACTGGCAGGGGCGTCCATGCAGTCTGTTGGCCACCTACTCCCGCGGAAGCCACGAAGAGCTCATCTTTGTAGAGGGTACCTCGCGAAAAGGACTGATGGGGCTTTGTCCGAGTTGAAATAAAGTTGGTAGAACTGCTTAGTTTGTTGGCCATCAACTTCCTGCATAGTCTTTGAGTTCATAAAAAATGGAAACTAGAAAGTGAGAGCTTTTATTTTTTAAAAGGTGAGAACTTAGCTTTCTGGAAGAAGAGGACTTAGGCTTTCGGAGGATGAGAACTTAGCTTTTTGTAGCGTTTCCCACAGACGACGCCAATTGATGAATCAATTTTTGGTGATGTATCAATTTTTTGTGCTAAGTACCTCGTCATTTGGTCTGCTTCCAAGTGGCCGATGACTCAGAGGCCGAAGTGAACTTTTGCTAGATGAGGACCTGGATACCGAGCTGACCAGGCCGAGTTGGGGGTAGATTAGGTGCCAATTTAAACTAGGCCGAGCTGGGCAGGTTAGGTGTTGAACTGACTGGGCCGAGCTAGGCTGGTTAGGTGACGAGCTTACCAGAGTGCTGAGCTGCCTATTAGGTGCCGAGCTGACTAGAGGGCCGAGCTGCCTATAATTTGCTGAGCTGACTAGAGGGCCGAGCTGCCTGGTGGCGAGCTGGATTGATTGTTGAGCTTCGTAGTTCTTTAGAGACCTGCAAGGAATCAATGTCAGAGGACCCGGGGTGGCTAACCCAGCAAGGTCACTGCGATTCTTAAGTCAGTACTCTCATAGTAGACTGCGAGCTAAAAATCACAAAGTATGAGAGCTAGAATATGCTTACTTGCCCCCCTATGCCATTGGGGTTGGTTCCTTTATATAGGCATTGTTTGGCGTGGGCTTCACGCACCGGATCCGAGATTTTCGAGAAGTCGTCTAAGTGGTCTGGGATTCCTTGAGGCAACCGCCATGCACGTTGACCACCCTCTGGATTGTTCGGCACGTGGACCAACTTCCAAGGATCGTAGGAGTGTTAGGATATACATGCCGAATTTGTTGGCGAGCACGTCTCGCAGGTCGCCAGGTCGGCGCCTGTGCCAGGTCGCCAGGTCACGCCTGGGCTAGGCTGCTAGTTCGCGC